ATTCTTTTTCAGCGTTTGTCCACCTTTTAAAGCTAACGCCCGTGGGATGTTCTGAACTTGCGTTGTTTTGAGGAGTTATAAGGCTATCCACCCCTTTGGTTCGGTCCTGTGAAGATGAACGTTAAATTCATAGATCACGCTTTGAATGGGGCGTTACATGTGAGAAGTATAGTTCAGTTTCTATATTTTATTATAATTGCTTTACACGGTCCACTTGTGTGTACTCGTATGCGTATTTTGCTCGCAACTGTTTCCAGATAAAGAAACCACCAAAATACGGAAGGCGCACCCTTACGAAATTATCTGCTTCTTAGGTTCACGTTCATATTTGAAGGCCTTAATGAATTCCCACTGGTTGGTAGTTATCATAAGTACCACAGGTAAATGTTTTGGTAGAAATTTGTAGAATATCCTGGCGCCTACTCGTGAAGGGGAACTCATTATCATCACTTTTTTATCACCTACGGGTTACCACATCCCAGGCTCGTGACAGCTATCGGTGATGTGTTTTTCTTGACACGTTTTAAAAGGAATGTCAAAACTGTACTTGCTCCACCCCCACCCCCCAAAAAACCCCAAAACAAACAAAACAAACCAGCAACAACACCAAAACTACAACAACAACAAACCGAAATAAACAACGAAAAAACAAAACAAACTACAAACAAAAAAACAAACAAAAAAAAACAACAATATAGAAACAAAAGCAAAACGACTAAACAACTTAGAAGCTTTTTTTGTGTGAAATACTTGGGTTGGCCCAGTTGTACTCAGATTCTACCCCCAGCCGCCCCCGAGTAACTTGAGTTTGAGACCCTTGCTCTAAATCACACTCTCTTTTTATCACCAGACTAACAGCTCTTCGACTCAACATCTACCTCTGAAGACGCTGGTTGATGTCACGAGAAAGAATGAGAATGGACGACAAGCTATTTCGTTACAACTTGCTTTCACAGATTCGATACAGTTTCTTCTCATCTGTCCACGCCCATTGTTGTCATTCCAAAAATAAATCATTCTTCGTCACCGAGGTTTTTCATTTTGTTCTTGCTTGTTGTACAGAGTCTTATTTGCTAACAGTGAATGATCTGCTACGGTAGGCCATGCCATGAAATGATATATTACGGTATGGTATGGTATGGTATGGTATGGTATGGTGTGGTAGGGCTTTGCTTTTCATGGCATGGTATGGCATAGTAAGGTATGATATGATATGACATGGCATGGTATGATATGGCGTGGCGTGTTATGGTGTGGTGTGGTATGGTACGGTACGGTATGGTATGGTATGGAACGGCATGGTATGATAAGGCATGGCGTGGCATGATACGGTACGGTGCGGTACGGTATCGTATGGTATGGTATGGTATGGTATGGTACGGTATGGTGTGATATGGTATGGTATGGTATGGTATGGTATGGTATGGTATGGTATGGTATGGTATGGTATGGTGTGGTACGGTATGGTATGGTATGGTATGGTATGGGTTTCAAAACTTTCCAATGTTGCAAGGTCAGGGAAGAAACGGGACCTCCGAGAATTTCACATTGGTTTCCGAGAGGATGAGGACAAATGGGTTTAGCGCTTTTGAAACGTTCCAACCTACAACGATCAAAGGATGTCAAGCTAGGGTTTCAAGCTAAAGATTTCAAGAGAACATTGTCCGTTGTCAAAGTTCCAACTGTTAGGTGAAATAAATAAATACATGCAATGTTTTATGCCTTCATGGACATAACTTAGACCATTTAAGAGAAGGAATGCTTCGACTGCCTTCAAAGGCCAACCGGGGTGGGATGGATGCAACATACCAGTAGACAGACGGTGATACTCGATATAAAACCTCTTCATGTAGGTATTGAACTCACGTCTTCTCCGTGCAATGGCGAAGCGCCTAACGATTACACAGCACTAGCCACAGGCAACCTTAATATCTTATGAAAAGAAACGCAACTTCACCCGTCACCACAGCAGCAAACGCTGCTTCTAGATTATTTTTCTTCCTATTCCATAACACCCAACGTGGTTTTTTTTAAGGTTGGTGTTTTACGCCACTATTGATACCTTTTAGATCGTTTAGGAGGAGGGCTTCCTATCTTACCTGCCAGGACCAACCCCCCCTGAGAGGAAATACAACATCCCAGCACTCGATAAAAAAATTTTCACACTCGGGAATCGAACTCAGGTCTCTTGTGTGTGACAGCAAAGCGCCTAACGGCTCAACCACAGAAGTATGTGTGGTGAGATAGTAACTGCGCGTTCACACAAAACACTCGGACGAGCGAGAGTCGCTCTCCAACAACCCACCAATTGTACCCCCCCAAAAAAAACAACAACAACCCAACAACAACACACACACAAAAAAACAACAACAACATCGCGTATCCCTCATTTGCGTCCAGACCAAAGCAACGACAACGACCGAGTGCTAGTCTCGTCAACGCAGTTTTCTGTGCAAAACGACTGTCGCTCATCCGCGTGTGTGGTGTGAACGCGCGGTTGGACTTTTCTCCATTATCCTTGTCTTGTGGTCTCCACTCCAGTGATCGAACCAGGTGTGTCTTGTCCACTTATTTTACTTTATCTGCCGCTTATATCGTTAGATGTTGCAGGGAGGTAGAGAAGTCGAGTCTTTTAAAACAGAGAAGCCTCCTGGAGATGGAAACCGTGAGCTTTTAACCTTTTCACTGTCGTGTAGACATCTGCACTCACTTGTGTCTGGACAGTTGGACCTGCTTTTGCAATGACTGCCAACGAAGCTCAGGGACAGACTTTTAAAAGGGTTAGGGGTTTCTTTACAAGGCGAATTTGTTTTCACTCGGACAATTGTATGTCGCAAGGAGTCGTGTAGGGTCCAGGGACTCAATTAGAATACATGCAAACAGGCTTGCTGCCCAGGACCGGGTGCCAGACGGCGAATATAACTGCAATGTTGTCTACATAGAGGTCCTACGGCAATGAATCAGGTACAAACATTTTATCACAGGATTTCTCTCGTAGAACGGGTCTGTATCTTGTAATAGTAATGACATACTACTACTACTACTACTACTACTACTACTACTACTACTACTACTACTACTACTACTACTACTACTACTACTACTACTACTACT